TTCTCTTAAAAGAATATTAATCATAAAATCTTTTATAGTGAAAAATTAATAATTAATAGTACAAAAATTTTAATAAAAAAATACAAATTTAATAATTTGAATGCAAATGAACATAAACTAAAAGGAATCGTAAACGAGTTAATTTGCATTTGAAAAGTGAAATCGTTGCTAGCGCAGGCAATTAAGCGCAGCGCAGCTGGTATTATTATTTTAGTGAATGCAAACGGTTACTGGGCTGTCTATTAATGCTGTTTGACACAATAAATGCTTAAGTTTTTTAATTTCATTTAAAGAAAATTAGTAAAAAAAATAAAACTGAAGAAAAAAAACATAAAAATTAAAAAAAATGTTATTCCATTTTGAACTAAATTTTAATTTTTCTGCATGCAAATTAGTCACTTCCACATAAAATATTTAAATTTTTTATATTTTTTAATATTTTCAATTTTTAATTTTTTTTTTATATTTTTTTAAATAAATTTTGATTTTTAGTTTCTAGTTTTTCAGCAAATCCATAAAATGCACACGCAAGCGTTATTTTGATAATTGCTTGCCTTTTCACAAAAACTATTTTGCGAGTTTCTACTATTAGTTTGTTTTTAAACGAAATTTTTCAAAAAAAAGCAATCCCATATTAAATATATATTTGTTGTTGCAGATAATATGACTTCAAGCCAAAACTTTTCCACGCCTTTTATTTTGCGCACTAACCGTTCAACTGATCTCAAGCGTTGGAGTTGGTAACTGTGACTGAACTGCTCGACTTGTGCGCATGCGCAGCACTTCTACAAAGCAGCAAACCAAAAAAGCCAAACCAGCTCCAACTAGAGAAATTACGTATATACAAATCTACTTTTCGTGTGTCGCATAGCATTGTAGGCAGCAACAACTCAATGATTTTGAGTTCTTTTCCACTGACACTGTGTGAGTGTGAGTGTTTGTGTGTGTGAGATACTCAAACAGCCCAGCAACTCAATGCTACCAGCAACCAGCGACCACTAAGCTAATCAGCCAGGCAGTTAGCCTGCCAGCGAACAAGGCGAGTGAGACCGCAAAGCCAGTTGTACTACATATACATTACCATTTCGTCCAAGCAGCCATGCCTAACCAGTAGCTGGTTTGTCGACTTTAAGCCAAATATTGCCTGTCAGCGGTCGGCACTTGTTTGTTAGATTACATGCATGTATATATATATGTATGTATTTGTGTGTGTGTAGGAGTATGTATACATGTACTTCTTTATGTTAAACTTTTACTCAAGCTTGGTCTTTATTTTTGGTATTTTATAGTTTGAGTGAAATGGTACAAATTAAAATAGTAAATCTGACTCAAGGTGCGTGCCAACATAAGCTTATCTTGAGCGTCACTCAAGTGCGTAATGCAGCCTTCAGTATGTCGATTGCAAACGACGTAAAGTGAGTACGCGCAGCTTAACAGTTACAGAAACGTGAAACTTGAAAAGCTCTATGGCATTTTCATCTAAAAGTGTCAAACTGTATGAAAAGCGGAAACGAGACTGATATACTTTTACATAAATATGTAATATGTCACAGCGGTTGCCAGCTGGGTGACGTGATATTTTTAAGCTAATATATAACATAATTTTTAAAATTTTTAAAGAAAAAAAAATATTTCAAAAATAATAAAAATAAATTATGTAGATGTACAAAAATTGACAAAATGATATACCTTAATTTTTTTTTAATTTTTAAGCGAGAAATTCTAATCTCAGTCAGAGAACACTCATTTACTCTTAATTTAATACGTATGTTGTACTGATTAAATAAATTTTGAACACAATTAAGCCGGTTTGATTAAATACGCTTTTCCAAATATCTAACTTATTTTGTCTATAAAATAAACGATAAAATAGTTAGCAACTCTATACAAAAAATTTCAGCCTCGATTAAACTCTTTACTTTGTTATGAATATTGGATATAACTTCTTTATAAAGTTTATTTAAACAATTTATAGAGCGATTGGTTAAAAAAATGGTTTTAACAGTAAGGTTTCCAAAAGCTCTTAAATATTTTTTCTGTAATAAATAAACTAAACAGACTTAAGTTTGTTATCCATATCGCAGTAATTCGTGGGTCTGAACAATTTTATTAAATTATTTTTAGTTCAATTGGCAACCCTCTTTAAAAAATATATTAAACTAAAAACTTACACAAACCTACTTGGCTTGATATCCCTGTATTATTATTCTTTTTTATTTTTGTTATAATAGGTGGCAACACCTATATGAAATATTTTTAACTATAAGTTTTCTAAAGCCTTTTGAGTTTGTTATACATGATATAATCATTCGTTTATTTGTTCAATTTTATGTTTGATATCCCTATTGTGTTATTTATTTATTTTTCTTATAACAGCTGGCAACTACTCTATTTAACTATTAGGTTTTTAAGTATTTTTAGTTTGTTATGTATGTTGTAATAATTAATTTACTAGTTCAATTTTATGGTACCGTTAATTATTAATTTTTGGTACCGTTGACAACCCTGTTTACAAAATATTTTCAATTGTAAGCTACATACGTATATCCAGCCTTTTTAGTTTGATAACGATATCACAATAATTTTTTAATCTTAGCATCTCATTAACTATTTTTAGAACAGCTGGCAACCATCTCTAAAAATATTATTAATTATAAACTTCCCAGAATCTGTTTACAGATGTCAAATATTGAAATAATTTGTTTTTATTTTATATTAAGTGACTATTGATCTATAAAATATTTTCAAATAAATGTATTCTTAATTTTCCAATACTCGATCAGCTTCTAATTTAGTTTTTTTGCTTTCAATCAACAATCTTAAAATCAGTTTGGCCTTTATTGTCTACTAACACTGTATATATACTAAAAAATGACGATAAGTCGATAATCAACAGAACCGAAAACAGATACCTCCTCATCAGACATTCTCATCGTCTCCGTCATTTCTGAAATTGTTGAAAAAATAAAACATAAACCAAACTTTTTTACGAATTCGTAAGCAAAACAAATATTTTATGAACCTCTAAAATATTAGACGGCTATTTCAAATGTTATTCTGTGTGACTGCCACCGGCTTTTCGAACTCTTCAAATAATCAGTTAACGGAACCAAAAATAGCAAACATAAAATTTTGATATATAATCGATGATAGCAAATATGAAAACATGCTATCATCGTTATTATTTGTTTCATAAATCGAAGCTAACTAGTTTCCCAAGTGAACGCCAGCTCATTTAACTAATTACGAAACGGCTACTAAATGATTATACTCTTCCACGTTGCTTTATAAAATTAGCATAAAGCGATTTTTTTAACAAAATGGCATTTGTTTACTTTTATGTGTAGACACTTAATGCGCGCCAACTAGCATATTTACACATTTTCAACAGCTGCATTGGAAGCTCAACCTTTAAATATGAGTTTTGCGATAATGACACAGCTACAGGTATCCCGCAAGCAAATCAAGTAGTTATTAACTAATTTACAACTAGTACCACCACACAAGAATAACTATTATAATAGTTAGCTGATTGTACTTTTTCCATGAAAGTAACTGCGAATTTTTGAACTGCGAGACAGTTGTCGAATTTCATCAGAAACCGAACTGGTTCTAGTACCAGCTACAAGCGGCTTTCCAGCGGCATAAAATCAGATTCCACTCGAGATTTAAAACAAAACAAAACAAGTAAGGAAGGGCTAAGTTCGGGTGTCACCGAACATTTTATACTCTCGCATGATAAAGTGATAATCGAGATTTCAGGCGTGGTTG